TATAATTAAAAAAGTCTCTGGACCTTTACTGGTTGATGATTTTCTATATTTGGACCCCGCTGGTTTTTAATTGTTTACCCCTGATCTAAATGTTTTAATTGTTCTGACTTTATTGTTAAGTCTGGTAGCTGTTGATATCTGACGTCAGATTAGGTATATTTTAAAGTGTTTATGGCGTGCTTCTAACAGTGCCTTTAGTGAGTTTTTAAAATAAGGCTTTTTACTTTTCAAGATATTTTCCCCTCCTGGTAAAATGCTCTTAGTATAAAACTTGTATTTCATTCATTCTTTGTAGAGTAGAACTGTACTGTTGCATTATAGCAGTACTTGATGACGTGCCTGTTTTCTACAGTGAGAAACAATCTGAAAGTTTGAGTCTTTTTATCTCCTTTGGGTCTGTGGTCGGAAAATTTAGATTTCTATTATTTCATATATTGAGTTATGCTGTTTATCCACTAAAAAATGCTTCTGAGTCTGTTTCATCACAACATGTCTGAGTGAGGGTTGGTTGTAGACAAAAACATTCTTATTCCCATAACCAGCCAAATTCTTTCTCAAGGTTAGTTATTGTGTAATTTGTTCTGACTCTCAACCTTCACAGCTTTTTCATCATTATAAGAAGAGAGACCAACTCTGTCTGGTGCAGAACAGAGCAGACCATCGAGCTGCTGTGACGTCTGGAACGTCTTTTTCTCCTTTTCTTCTCATTTAAGTAAATAAAGTCGACTGAGTAAAATCCATCCATCTCCGTTTATTTAACTGGACTTTATAGTTGAAAACTTTTTTCACACGACAGGCCTCATGGTTTCCTGTTCACCTTGCCGACTGAATACTTTCTGTTACTGTTAGATTATGTTTGTATGAGTGCATTAATTTCATACTTAAAATCAGGCAGTTAGAGTTTACTTATTCTAAACTATATTTCATATAATTAATAGTACAATAGTATAGTCAAGTACACTTGACTATACTATTGTTTACTAAAGTATACTTTAATAAACTTAAAAATGTCCCAATTTAGTTTGAAGAAGTATTACTTTAGTAATATTTCAAGTACACTAAAAGCACATTGTTTGGTATACTTTCTAAACTTATACTTAAGTATTCTTAATAGAATTTACTTCAAGTATGCTACTTTTTGCTAATGGTTGACTATAACGAGGCAAGACAAGGACTCATTCAAGTTTAACCATTTAATTTATTTTGGTAGCAAAAAACATCTTTAATTTCAAAGCTTAAACTTAATTCACATTAAAAAAAATCAAAAAATTTAAACTGTGATTATACTGTTAATTAATATTAGTTCATAAAAAAAAAATCCCCATTAAACCAGGCCAGTTTGTCCTAGAAGTAACTCAGTTAGTGATGAGTGCCCCCTGCTGGACTGGAGGTCCAACAGAGAACCATTGGATGAAAGCATGAGGTATAAAAATAAAAACCTCAAAAGCTTTAAAGTTATGCTATCAGATAGTACTTTTCTTTTTTGCTGCTCCTGTTTCAGCTGAGAAAACAATGTAATTATTTAAACAATTTTACTGTCTATATGTTTGATGTTCATAATATAGCTTCGTAAATATCATGTGTTGTAAAAGCAGATGAAACCAGATTATAAATACTGCACCTCTAAATAATCCACAGGTCCTATTAAAAAACAAACAAAAAGGAAAAGTACTTTGTTGACTGAGAAGGTTTACTAGTTTTAACCTTTCAGGTTTCCTTAATCTGGATCTTCAACAGAAATTACAGATTAGATGAAATTAAGTTTAAAGGCTGACTTCAGTCATTTTTATTATTAAGTTAAAATAATAAAATGTAATCAGGAAAAAAAAGATATTAGTTTACGGCAGAAATGTCCATTAGTCCTCTACACCAAATGCTTTATTGCAAACATACCTTTTTTTAGTACTATTGCTCCAGATAAAGCTGTATAATTATATATTTTTCAGTAAAGCGTGTTAAAATGAATCCCTAAATATGCGTTTTTAAACTAAACTACAGGTCATAACAACAACAAATAATAATAATATTGAAACTTTTTCTTAGTTGGATAAAAATAAAATTTTTCAATTATAATTATTTCTACCCACAATTGAAGTTTTATAGATCTGGAGTTTAATTCTTTTTTTTCTGGTATGAATCATAAATAATGTTCCTATGCTCCATGTTTCTGCAGAAAGTCTTGGTTCAATCAAAGTTTTTTTCCTGCAGTCTTTATGTTTTTCAGAGATGTTTTGGTGCTGCTCAAATATCTCTGTCAGAATTATTTGTTTTGCTTTTTGAGAAAAACAAGCATCTGTTAGATTTATATCTCACTGCTCTGGACCAGAAAATGCGACAAAGCTCACTTTGTTCACCGAGGTTTTTCAGAGCATCAATCTGACCCAATAAATGAACGATGGTCGGACATTTTCCCAGCGAGGAAAAGAAACAGATGTTTGGGGGCTTTTTTTCCCATGTGCATAAAAGGACTTTAATAAAAACTTTCATCTCTGTCCAAGGTTAAACATCCAAATTTCATTTTAAATTCCAGTTTTATTTTCATTAAGTTTTACAAACACAGAAATACTTTAGAAAATCTACTCCCAAATGATCATTTCTTCTACGTCCCTGAGAGGCAAAGCGTTCCCTGTAAAGCTTGATGTCAAACAGGTTCACAAACTGCTTATCTTAAAATAGAAAAAAGGAAATGTGTTTTTTTATGTTCAAAATGATGTTCTTTAGAGTTTTCACAATATTGGGTACAGCGCATAGCTTGCAATGCCACACGTGTTCCTGCCATTCCGGACCATCCTCATGTATCCACCTTCACCCCAGCTGCTTCCCCAGCTACGAGAACGAAGAAGGAGAAAATGAGCTTTTAAGGTGTATCATTGTGAAATCCACACATTTAGGTGCTTTAAACGTGTTAAACACACCTGTTCTTGATTAGCCAGTAGTCTTGACCATCCTCGGAGCCGTAGCCAACTACCAGCACCGCATGGCTCAGGTGATCAGGGTTACAGTTGGGCTCGTCATAAATCCCTGCAGAGAAATGGAAAGGCAAAGGTCTTTGTTTGAATCGTGCATGGGCGCGGGCAGGGGGGGTGCTGCAGCAACCCCCTAATGGCCAGAGGGAGATAAAAATACTTTGCACAATTTATACATTTCTTATAAACAATTTGGGAAATGATTTTGTTTTTTTTATTGATTATACATATTTGGATTTTAATTAAACTATTTTGAGGCCTAATCAACACAAATTCATGGACGTAATGTTGTCATGGCAACGTCTAGATAGCTAGTGCGTGGTATCCCGCTCGCAGCAGCAGACTAGTAAATAATCTAATGACAGAAACCTTTTGTTGTGTATTTTTGTAGCAGGGATAACCAGGATCATACAAAATTGGTTTGGATGAACCACGTTTGTTCTCTACCTCCAAACTCAGCATCTTTATCCATGCATAGGGGTGTAAATAATAATCGTTTTGTATCGATGCATCAATCCAACAGCCGTCGATCCGATGCATCCATACGTCTGCTCGAGTATCGATTCATGTTTTTTTTCCCTCCGGACTATTTTTATCCATTTGCTCCTGGGCGTAATTCTGACTCCTGTGCTGCGGTGGCGCTAAACCTATCTTGCTCTCCTACCTCGCTTCCTTTAGCCACTACCATTGTTCCGCTTGCAGTATTTTTTGATTCAAGGCCTTTCAAAAATCTATAACACAGAGGCATTATTATTTCTCAGTGAATGAAGTTTCCATAGAACTAGGTGCAGTACAAACTTGCTACTTCTATTATTTGCTGTTGTTTCTCAAATAAAATGCAAAACGATATTACAGCTTTCATTGATTTATTTCAAATTTCATACACTGTCTAGCCTGTAAGGTAAAAAAAAAATCGAATCGAATGGTATGGTGGTGTGTTCTTGAGAATCAAAAATAATTTAATCAGGAAAATGATACTGAATCGAATCACCATGATGGGTGTGATTTACTCCCTTATCCATGCCTGCAATAAGAAGTTTGTTTTAAAGTTGTCAGATGTGCTTTTGGGAGTTTTGGCTGGATTTGATTTAAGCTTTTAAGCCTCTTGGTAGAAACTAGTTTGATGGAGATGAGAAATCTGCTTCCTGTTCTGTTGAAGAAACAATCATTTGCATCCAATCATTCAGATTTTCTTTTATATCTGTTCCTGCAGTTCAACGCCACCATAGTATTATAGAGCATTATTTTGATCCGTTGTTGTTTGTGTAATGGAGAACTGTTCAATAACTTTTAAATAGTACATTAATATAATATTTCTTGGTGGTTTGCGTAAAAGGATTTTGGAGCTAATAGAGTCACGTGTGACATAAACACAGTGACTCAGGTTCCTGCCAGCTGACCAGATCTACGCTGTTGTATTGTTATTGTGAAGTTTAATTAATAGTGCAGATATTCACCTGAGAACTGATTATATCTGCGTGTTACAGACCCTGGTTGGTGCACTGAAGTGGATATGACAATAAAGTAATGAATCTCAATTTACTTATTTATTATTATTGTATTTTAAATAGGCATATAGGCTCATAGGTCGTTTTTCCAAAAGAAACAAAAACATTTTCACAGCACCCCCTGTTCAAAAGTACTTCCTGCAGCCCTGGAACCGTTGATCCCATTTAAAACTCCCTGATGAATTTGCTTTGAGATTAAGTTATTTTTACCCTGTTAGATTAGATGTACATCTTTCAAAACACGCCACTACTTACAGTAGAGTATTATACATTTTAAGTCAGTTTTTATTCAATTATTATAATTTCTGCTTAACAGCAAATTTCAATTAACATTTTATTCATATGATTTAATCTAGTGTGTAAATCTAGGGTCTACATGCTGCTGTCACAGCTTCATTTTCCAATGTGGGTCACTAACGGTGTGTCTATTCAATTGATTCTATTCTATTATATCATATATCATAGCAACATTGCTGTGATATTATTTTAGCAATTCTATTGTAAAACTCAATATGTGTTGTGGATCAAAGTTGATGTTCTGAAAGTTTGGATTCCAAATATACGCAAAATCAACTTTCATTTGTCAGTGAAGACTTTTCACCACAGAGCAACGCTTCAGTGTTTTTAGCCGTTAGCTAAGATAAGACAGCTGGACACAGAATCCGCATTAGGAGAGGATAGAAACAATGCAACCGTAGGAAGTCTGTGAGTGGTGGCTGTTAAAGCTCTGATCTTATAAATCTACTAAAAACCCTAAATACTTCAGAATCCTCTCTTTCTGCATTAAAAGTTATTATATCTATTTGAGATTTAATATTATAGCATTCTTACACATTTAATTTTAGACTTTCAGATACATAATGATAGAAATTTGTGTAAAATATCTGAATTGATGTTACTTTTTACAGCTTTTTTGTTTGCTGAATTTAAATTAGAGAATTAAAATAATCTTTTGATATTTTTCTAATCTAATAGAAACACACCTGCTCATAATTGAACCTGACACTAGATTTCAGGGTCAGAAACATAAGTAATGAAGCTTTTACTGGGCTCTAAATGTGCACCTTTTTCCACTCGGATAAACATACAATAAGGAAATGTTGTGAAAACAGTCACAGAAAGTTGATTTTAGATTGAAATGGCAGCATTTTTCCTTATAATAAGCCCAGAAAAAGTCCCATTTATAAGAAGCAGAACAGCCATAAATGTTGCTGTTTGAATTAAAATCTTAACTGACACCTGAGGAGAAATATCTGGCTGTGAACAGCAGTTTGTTTATCTCCTGCTGCTGCTGCTGCTGGCGTTCGGCTAGTGCAATGCCCAGGGGGGTTTAGAAAAGTTGGTCCGTCTGCAAACTGTAGCTGAAAACTGATGCAAGGAAGATAGTTATGCTGTTTTAAACTCCAGTACAGAAAAGTAATGCACAATTTGATCAAACCTGTAGGAAAGTTTGCACCAGCTTATTTCTATTAAAGCGGAACAGATACTTGCCTGAGCTGTAGAAGAGGAAGCTTGAATGATCGGCATCGACGGCTACAGTAATTGGCCCGATGGTTGCCACAGCATCGGCCAGCGCCTGCTCGTCTCCTTTGGGAATGAAGCGGTAGTCTCTGATATGCGCCACTGCAAGACTGCTGTCGTAGAAACAAGGCTGTGTGTCCTGTGGAGAGAAAGGAACGCCTGCTGAAGATCTCTCCGTTCGTCTGGACAAATGCTGGAATATAAGACTGAGGCTCACCACCGAGGTGTACGGATAGGTCTCTGTCGTCTGCAGACCGTTGCTGACCACATAGTCATAGGCGTTGGCCATCCAGGCGCCGCTGCAGCCGTAGGTGCCGTACGGTTTGGAGCAGTCCACCAGGTTCTGCTCGCTCAGAGACATCAGCCGACCCGTTTTCTTGAAGAGTTGTCCTTCTATCGCTCCTGTGGTGCTGAAGGCCCAACAAGAACCACAGTAACCCTGAGAAGACAAGAGAATCGTGGCTTTAATTGCAACTCAGACTGAAGAACAACATGACTCCACAGGTGTTATCTTACCTGATCTTTAACCTCGGTGACATAGCCCATGCTCCTGTAGTCAACAAACCAAGTATTAAGCTTTTTAGCGTTGTAGCGCAGTCTTCTAGCTGAAACCTCCCTCCCTCTGGCCACAAACTGGGCATTGATCATGGCTCCCTGCAGATTTTGATATTCTTGCATCGTCTATGGGAAGAAATCAGAGGAAGAAATGATGCACCACACAATCAGACTCTGGAAAAACAGTCAAGCTAACCTAAAAATTGTGTATTCAGGTGAAGTTGCTAAGAAGTTTATCTTCTAACAATAAATGTACTCATTCATCTGCAGCTACCAGCAGCAGCCATGTGAAGACAAACACTAGAAACTTTTAACAAATCTAAGAGCAAGGCAGGCCCTCCTTACAAGGTCTCCATATTTATTCATGGCCAGACTGAAGGACCTCCTCCCGGTGAGAAAGCCTTGGTTGTGGTCCTCAATCTTCCGCTTGTTGTCCTCCCAGATGGCCCTCCGCTGCATGTCGTCCTGCTTTAAAGGAAGGAGAAAAACACTTAAAAGGATGAGTTCTCCTGATTGTGTTGATGTTTCCTCAAAGGGTTTAACTGTTTATTCAATCTCACCAATTCATCGTAGCTTATGCCGTGACTTTTCTTCCAGATGTCCCACTCGGTCAGGACCGCCTCGTCCGAGTCTGACAGCACCGTCTGCGGGCTGCACAGCAGGACAGAGAGCAGGGCTGCCCTCAGCAGAAAGCTGATCTGACCACCTAGAAATACAGAAAATAAGGAATCAAAACCTGTTGTTTTAATGTGGATGTTTGCATTAAATTATAAAGGTTCTGGCAATAGTTCAGTGACACCAGGAATAACACTATAAAACACCCAATCTCTTCTTTTAAGCCCAAGGATTCTTTCTTATATTATTTCTTTTAAATCTTTGTATTAAAACAAAGATTTTACAGGAAAAGTTTTTTCATCATCAAGTATAAATTCTATTTTAACTGCAAGACAAATGAAACAAAGGTAGGAAAATCCTGGGTTGCCTACCTGCACACATGTCAGCCTGTTTGGTTCCCATGTTCCAATGGCGACTCCCAGAGTGTACAGCCTCCAGCTTTCAGCCTGCTATATAAAGCTTTTTGTTAACTATATGTTCTTTTTACTAAATCCTTAAATGAAGGCTTGCTCCTGCACCTGAAAGGTATATTAGTCGACAAAAATATGTTGCCCTGCCGGCTCCCCCTCTGCACTCTCCTGCAGCTATCACTTAGAAACAGCTAAAGCTGCAGTATTGTTAATCCCTCAAATACATGTTTATAACTGAGCATAACACCTGACACCCGACACAGGCCAAGATAACAATGCATCTGAATAAAGTTTGCACTGAAATAACAGCAGAAATCAACCTGTTGATGTCTTTGTTTTGATAAAAGCAGAAGTTTCACTGAGATTATTATATGCACTCATTGATCAAATATTTCAGGAGAAACAATTACTGCATTATTGTGAACAGTTTTTTTAATCAGCTTTTTTGGATATTGTTTATTAAGACAGGCTTTATACAGACTGTAAATCATAAATAATCTAATAATCTTTAACTAAGTGGTTAAATTATCACTGAACTAAATAAGTTTTTGGTTCCAAAAAAGAAACAACAGACCTCTCATCCAATAAAAATTTAAAAAAGTGACTGTAATGGTTTATTTGTTTCTTTTTATAAAACCAATCTGAGTTGTAAACCAACCACCACACAGCTGCAAAAAAAGCTATTTAAAGCCTTTCTATAATGAATAAATCTGAGCATGTTGTAGATCATAAGCCGTGCATTATTTTACTGCAGTCTTATAGCACCTTATCTAACGTATTGGAATTTAAATCTTAAGGAAAAAGTATAATAGTTATATTTCTTTCCTCAATTTACCCGAAAGATTACAAATCTGCATCATAAAGAAAATGAGACATATTTTTTGTTTTAACAGTCTTAACCCAAAAATAAGCGGATTTCATTGATTTCTTTTCTGCAAAGCTGATCTAAAAACCATGAAGGAACTGACCTACAGATATCCATAAAGTTTCCTTTAGAGAGAAGATATTTACAGACTCAGACTGAGGGTTGCGGTAAACTTAAAGTCCATGTGTGTCTGTGTGCGGTTTCCGGCTCTGGAGCCGCTTAGAACCACAATCTAAACAATGCTCATTGCTACTATTTATGTCATTGTTTACATTCTGATCTCTGCTGCACTTTATGCTAATGTTTATCTACTCCAACTGCAACATCTTTACAACTGTTGTGAGCAGGTGCGGGTTTAGGAAATATGGGGCCCTAGGCAAAGAAAGGCAGGGGGCCCTCTGAATTAAGAAGACAAAACATAAAACAGCCCCATTCTCCAGATAGAGAAATGTTAATAGAATAGACATCCATGATCTGTTCTAGGTTTTGTTCCTCTCTTCTTGTCCCTTTTCTTCTTGTTTTCCTCTCTATGTTTTGTACTCAGCTGACTTTTCATGCTGTCTCTAAAGGAATGAAAGATTTTTTCCAAG